TCTCTGTGAAAATCAATAAAATATATATTTTAAAAAAAAAGTTATGCCTGGCTGGCGTGGCTCAGTGGTTGAGCATCGACCTATGACCAGGAGGTCATGGTTCGATTCCTGATCAGGGCACATGGCCCAGTTGCAGGCTCCATCCCCAGTGTGGGGTGTACAGGAGGCAGCCGATGATGATTCTCTCTAATCACTGATGTTTCTCTCTCCCTCCCTCCCTCTCCCTTCCTCTCTGAAATCAATAAAAAGGTATTTTGTTAAAAAGTCTTTCCTGCTGTTAGGAGGATCCCTGGGGCTTTAAGCATGGAGACAGCATGTAACTAACGTGTCCGTTATTAAAAGTCTTTAGGAAGCATGAAATGGCAATGCACCCTACCGGAGGAGGTGGCATCCATGAGCCGAATGAAGGGACGGAGGTGCCAGCGCAGTCGCCCAGGGCCACTCACCTTGCCCCTGTCGAAGTTCTGGATGATGGCCAGGTGCAGGTGCTCCTTGCGCTGCCACTCGGTCTGCGCCGGGTAGCTCAGGAACTCGCGCAGCGGCCGGTCCGACCACTCCAGCAGCTCGTCGTACAGCAGGAGGGTGTAGGCGGCCTCTGCAAAGCAGCGGGGAGCAAAGTCCAGATGGGCCCTGCAGCCGCCCCTCAAGGGGGGCCAGTTCGTGACAAAGAGGGGACAAAACTACTTTCTGAATTCCATGATATTCCAGAAAAGGGCCCAGAATGTAAGAATATATACAATGGCAGGTTAGTGAATGCTGACTTTCTCGAAAATGGAATCATCAGAGATTTGCATGTAATTGTTTGGTTCCCTGTATTCATTCATTCATTCATTCATTCACAGAACCCTACAGAGAAGTTCTCCATCCATTTCACTTTCTCCAGGAACTCAAAGAATCGAAGACAGAAGGGAGATGGGTAAAATGTTATAGGGGAAATAGAAAAGAAAAAACAAAGAAAATGTTATAGGGAAAAGGACTCATTTCTTAAGACTTTGGGGAACATAAAAACTACAAACAAATTAAAGAGTTTTTCCATCTCCAAAATATACCCAGCCAGATTTGGACTTTGTTTAGAGAACCAGAATAGACCTGCTATATATCTGCAGGAACTGTCCTCCGTTGCTTCTCTCGCTTCTTTTTTTATGGACTTTAAGTACAACAAGCCTACCGGGTTTTTTCCCCACAGATATAGAAACTAGGTTGAGCATTTCTCTCAAAATCTGGCTACCAGCTACTTAAAAATGACCATTTAAACTCTCAGGCAACATGATCAGCTAAGAAACCAAAATTCTCAGCATGTCTGTGGGGCCATCATTGTATGTAGATGGAATACATATGACAGCTACCACATAAAGTGGGGAAGACAAAGGGACCTCTACGGCTGTAAACTTTCCACATTTAACTTTAGGTGATAAAATACTAACTCTGAGTAGACTGAAAAGTTAGGGATACATTTTGTAACACCCAAAACGACCTCAAAAAAAAGATGCTAAGAAATATAGTTAAAAAGCCAGCATACAAATTAAAATGAAATACCAAAAATACATAAATAAATCCAATCTATACTAATAAAGGGTAATATGCTAATTAGGGCGGATGTCTTCCGGACGTCCATCTGGACAAAACCACAGTGGCTGCGAGGCCTGGGGCTCAGGCAGCCGTGGACTCATGACAGCCGTGGGTTCAGGCAGCCATGGACTCATGACAGCTGTGGGTTCAGGCAGCCGTGGACTCATGACAGCCATGGGCTCAGGCAGCCGTGAGCCACTGCGGCTGCAAGACCCTGGGCTCAGGCCTCACAGCTGCTGCGGCCAGCAGTGGCAGCAGCAGCAGGGTGATGGGGGCGGCGCCTTCCCCTGATCAGCCTGGTCGCCTCCCGCATAGGGAGGCCAGACTTCGGCTTAGGCTGGGGGCCAAGGCACAGGTAGTTAGGGGTGATCAGGCCAGCAGGGGAGCAAGTTAGGGGCGAACAGGCCAGCAGGGGAGCAAGGTAGGGGCAATCAGGCAGGCAGGCAGGTGAGTGGTTAGGAGCCAGCAGTCCCAGATTGCGAGATGGGGATCGGGCCTAAACCGGTAGTCGGACATCCCCTGAGGGGTCCCAGATTTGAGAGGGTGCAGGCTGGGGTGAAGGCCCCCCCCCCCATGCACGAATTTTGTGCACTGGGCCTCTAGCTTAAAATAAATTTCCATTATTAAAAAATAGGTGGTTCTTTATCTGATATGGAGGCTGGAACACAGAGGACAAAAGACAATCAATTACATAAGAAATAAATTTCAATTTTAAAGCAGAAATGCTTGAGCCCTAATTCCAAAAAGGAGAGGACTTACCGTGTCTCACACACCAGGGTCCACCCTCCCCGGCCGGAGCCCAAGACAGAATTACCTGTGAAGTTCTGTGCCTTGAGGTGCAGGTCGTAGAGTTTGTGGATGTAGCGGATGTACATCTCTTCCTTGTTCAGTTCCGTCTTATAAAAGTTCTGGGGAAAAAAAGTACAAGTGTGGAGAGTTGCTCAACAGTCAGGCCGGCAAATACCTGCCTTTTACTCTGCTGACGTGTCATGAAATTGAACCAAAAGAATGGATTGTTCGTATAAATGTCTTTAGCAGTGTGTAGTACGGAGGCCCAGGGGCATGCTTTTATTCAACACCGGCTGTGCTCAACAGGACCTGGCGACGGGATGCGCTGGGAATGTCTGCAGTGGTATCACCACTGATGAACATAGCCTTACTGACTATCATTTTTTTGTTAGTTTTGCTGCCAATGGACCATCAGCCTATTCAACTAAAATCGTGAAATATGTAACAGATTAACCTGTTTATTAAAGTTAATTAGTGATATCCAAAGGCGTTTCAAGTTTCAAACACATGTTTACTCGAAGGAAAAATAAGACACATCGGTAAGGCTGAGTCAAAACAACGCAAATGCAATTTTTCCTTCCGAAGATCGTGGGAAGGTGGGAAAGAAAGGCTCTTTGTTGTTGGGGTGTTATGAGAGCTCCTTTGTGCTGGAGTTTAAATGTTTCCAGTTGACGTACAAAACATAAATGGATTGATAACAAGGTATTTTGTTTCAAATTATTATTATGGAGACAAGCTTATTGAAAATATTCATATGAAAAGTAGCTTGATCTTCCTAAATTTCCCTAACACTTTTTAATGTTATCAGAGACTCAACTTGAAGGTAACCTGGACCCATGCTCTTGGCATTTAAAGGTACATCACCATCCTGGCTGGTTATATCAGTGGTTAGAGCACCAACCCTTGGACTGAAGGCTCATGGGTTTGATTCCAGTCAAGGGCATGTATCTCGGTTACAGGCTCCATCCCCGGCCCTGGTCAGGGCGCATGCAGGAGGCAACCAATCGATGTCTCTCTCTCTCATTGATGTTTCTGTCTCTCTACCCTCCCTTCCACTGTCTCTAAAAATCAATGGGAAAAAATATCCTCCTGTGAGGATTAACCAAAAATAAATAGATAGATAGATAGATAGATAGATAGATAGATAAATAAATGCAGGTACATTATCCGCATCCACCTCTAGTCCTTCACAATGTGAGCAAGGGCCCTTCCTCCCTGAACGTGGTACACAGAGCACATGAAGTCCGATTCCAGCAGAAGCGCGGCACGCTGAGACTCAGACGTGCTTTTTCCAAAGAGCCCTTGGACGTGACATCCCGGCTACAGCACTGGGACGCCTATCATTGTGGGCCCTGGTTTCGGGTGATGCTACTTGGGATGAGGAATAAGGAAAATGTGTGGCGATGGGAACACATCTGATGACTTGAAGAAGTGACAGTTTTTTCCACGGGGGACAGGCCACGGATTCTCCACGTTTTTGGAGCTGATTCGTTAGAGAGGGCTTTGGTAACCGGCTGAACTAGCTAATGTGGCTCGTAATACTGAACTTGAGCTTGAAGCCTGAGGACCATCTGCCCATGCCCTTCCTGAATACCACCTCCCAGGAGTCCATTCTTCACTATGAGGGCTCTCCTATCCTTGAGACACGGACATGTAATTGAATAACATTTTTTCCAATTTGTATCATTATCCTCTCCCTTTTCTTCTCCTGTAGATCTTGGCATTCTTTTTTTAAGAAATATATATTTATGATTTTAGAGAGGAAGGGAGAGAGAGATAGAAACATCAATGATGAGAGAGGATCACTGATCGGCTGCCTCCTGCACGTCCCACACTGGGGATCGAGTCCACAACCCAAGCAAAGGGAATCGAACTGTGACCTCCTGGTTCACAGGTTGACACTCAACCACTGAGCTATGGTCGGGCAATCTTGGTATTCTTTAAAAAACCAAATAAATAACGCCATTCACAGCTCCCATTATAACTCAAATCATTTCAATTAGCAAGCAGTGTTGTAGCATCAACACACATCTAACATCCCACAGCAGGTTTTTACGTTACTAAAGGATGATTTGCTCTAATAGCTATCTGGTAAGAAGCGGCTTTCTTTGAGAACAAAAATAAGACTCACTCTGGAAATGAATAGTTCTTTAAAAAAACAGAATGATCTCTCCCATCAGCAGAGGAGAATATGCACATATGTCTGGGGAAACGGGTGACACCGAGAACAAAACAATAATTACATTTCCCAGCATGAGTCATGACAAGGATTATGCACTTGTACGGCGAACACTCCAGTTAACGCTGGCAGCGTGAAGGAAGCCAGAGCTCTCCTGAGACAGTCTGGAGCTGATCTTCCCCGAGGGGAAAAACATCTCTGAGAGGGAGTGAGCGGATGAACAGAACCATTTGCCGCTACAAAAACATCAAGAAGGTTCCAGATGGAGTATGAGCTAGAACGATTCACTTCCACGTCATAGGTTTTGCTCCTTTAATAAGAAGTATTCTTGCCCGGCCCATGTGGCTCAGTGGTTGAGCATCAATCTATGGACCAGGAGATCATGGTTCAATTCTGGGTCAGGGCATATGCCCAGGATGTGGGCTCAATCCCCAGTATGGGGCGTGCAGGAGGCAGCCAGTCAATGATCCTCCTCATCATTGATGTTTCTATTTCTCCCTCTCCCATCCGATCTAAAATCAATAAATATATATTTAAAAACAAAACTGAACTCAATACAACAAGACTGGAGCCAATGAACAGACAAGACAGAATCAGAGGGGGCAGAACATGCCTCCCAGGCAGAGGCCTATGCAGAGCAGCAAACTCGAGAGAGAGACAAAGTAGGAATACGTGCTCAGAACAGATGCTGTGGTTTCATTTATTTCTTTTTTTTTAAATATATTTTTTATTGATTTCAGAGAGGAAGGGAGAGGGAGAGATAGAAACATCAATGATGAGAGAGAATCATTGATTGGCTGCCTCCTGAATGCCCCACACTGGGGACTGAGCTGCAATCTGGCATGTGCCCGGACTGGGAATCAAACCATGACCTCCTGGTTCACAGGTTTATGCTCAAGCACTGAGCCACACCGGTCAGGCTCATTTTTCTTTAAAATAAGACAAAGAAGCCAAGACACTCACCAATTTAGAAATGGAAACAGTCACATGGTCCCCTATTTCAAATTTGATTAAGGGGAACGATCAAAAGCATGAATTTACCCTTTTTGATCACTGAACAATGCATGTCTACGCGAACAGTAATTTTTTTGCCCTGTGGTGAGAACATCACTCAAATTAATCGTTACTTACGAGACGGTTTAATATAAATGTGGTTTTCCCAGGGCAGTTCCAGTTTTGCCTGTTATCCTTACATGATATTTACTTTTACTCTCAAAAATATCCTGTTGGGCCTGGCCAGTGTGGCTCAGTGGTTGAGCGTCGATCCATGAACCAGGAGGTCATAGTTTGATTCCTGGTCAGGGCACATGACCGAGTTGGGGGGCTCGATCCCCAGAAGGGGGTGTGCAGGAGGCATCCAATTAGTGATTCTCATCATTGATGTTTCTCCCTCTCTCTCTCCCCCTCTCCCTTCCTCTCTGAAATCAATTTTTTTTTTTTTTAAAAAATGTCCTGTTGGGAGGGTAAGCTATATGATCATCCTACTTATAACCCAAGCCTTAACCATGGTGGCATCATACATTTAATTTGCAAAGAAGCTAGAAAGTGAAAATTGGCTTAACAGAAAAGAGTCATTTGGTCACAAAAGAAGAGATCACTAATATTTATTACGATGGAAAGAAACTGTCTAATCACAAGTACAAAGTCCTAGGGGACGCTGCTTGTTTCTAGAGAGCGATAAAGGATGACAGAGCCCGTTGAGCTACAGGGGACAGATGGCTCCCACTGGGATCTCCAGGCTCCGCCTCCAGGCCCCAGGGCCACCATGGGTGCGTCTGCAATGCTGGAGCGGGTAATTTCCTGGGATTTAATTCAACCTGAAGCTCGATAGGCCTTTTTTATTTTTTAAATATATTTTTTATTGATTTCAGAGAGAGAGAGGGAGGGAGGGAGGGAGAGAGAGAGAGAGAGAGAGAGAGAAACATCAATGATGAGAGAGAATCATAGATCGGCTGCCACCTGCACACCCCACACTGGAGATGGAGCCCCCAGCCCAGGCCTGTGCCCTGACCGGGAATCGAACTGTGACCACCTGGTTCATAGGTCAATGCTCAACCACTGAGCCACACTGGTGGGACTCGCTAGGCCTCCTTTAGATACACTTCTAAACTCTTCTAAGAAATATCGGATAAAAAAACACTGTGGATCGAAACCAAACAAAACATAGTATTTCTGTAAAACAACACATGTTAGGCTGTGAGGAGGAAGGGAGTGGGTGGGTCACTAACCAGAAGGCTCACTGTGCAGCCGATCTTCTTGCCGTCCACCTCGCCCACCTTCATGCAGTCCCTGAAAACAGAGAACAACAGTCAGAACCCAGAGCTTCCTTCCCGGATGCACACACACTGATCTTTCAGGGAAGTAAGAGGCTAAAGGCTCAGGGACTGCAGCAACTGCCCCCAGGCAACTGCCCCAGGCTGCAGGATCTCAGGTGAGGGGTGACAGACTCCTGAGCCTCCAGTGGGCAGCCCTCCCTCTCAGTGGGCTGGGCCTCGGGGGCGGGGCGAAGGTGTGGTATTATACGCCTCTAATGTGGGTGGAAAGGGGCGGGTAAGCCCGGCCATCAACAATGAGAATGAAGGTTCATTCTTGAAATAAAACAAAAACACCATGCATTCAAGTGGAGCAAACCGCTTGACCAGTTTAGATCATTTAAAAGTTAAAAATAAAACGCTGTCTATGGAAGGAGCATGGTTGTCTAATTCTCCAACACTCCATCTTCACCCCGAAATGGATGGATCTGCTTACTGGCTCTAATGGGCGAGTCCAGATAAAAACGAACAAAACCAAAACCCCTTTACTAACGGGACTCTGAGAACCCTCTCCATCCACTGAGACTTGGAAAGAATTGCCGACCAAAACAAAACAGAAAGGAAGAGGAGCGACACAGAAACGTCCTGAGCCAGCAGTGCACAGCGTTATCTCAGGCCTCAGGTTCACGGCTGTGGATCAGATCTCCGGGGAGGGGGGGTCGGGGGGAGCTCAGGTGTGTGGGGACTGTCCTTACTCTGAGTCCCTAACCAGGGCGCAGCACACCTGGGAAACGGCACCCAACTCACCTGTAATCCAACAACCTCTCCATCAGGCGCGTCACCGTGGCGATCAAGGAGACCCCACTCTCCCTCCATGTTTCCCGCTCGATTTTCTTCAGCAGACTGGAAAAGAGAGGACCCCGGGCATTTCCAACATTTATTTTTATCGGTCACCATGACGACCATTTTACTTTCATCAGCACCTTAAATGCCTTAGCAACCACAGCAACATCTCACAAGGAGCACAATTTGCAAACAATGTCTTACCTAGGATAGGGACCAAAGAGTGGAATTCTAATCCCGGAAGCATTGACAAAGCAAATGGATGTTTAGATTCTCCGAGTCGTGAAATACGAACCCGTGCACAGCATCACAGTTTCACACAGGCAAGCCCCGAGCAGCTCACACACGCTTCCTCCCAGCTTCTCCCTCCCGGGAGCAGGCTCGCACCTCCCCACAGCCCAGGACAGTGTGGCCAGCGGAGACAGCACACCTGCGAGTGCACTGTCAGGTCAGCCCTTGCTGTATTCCCGGGAAACCGGCTCCCTACCTCTCCGTGGAGCGCATCCTCATCCGAGCAATTCTACCGCAGTGCAATGCCCCAGGAAAACCCTTGCACAGACGGAGTGACGTGTGGCGTTTTTTTCCTTTCACTTAGCATTTGCCCACTCAATACATATTGTACTGTCTGGTGCATGCAGGCAACAGCTTCATACATTGTGTCATTAATCACAGGGGACTTTCTATGGGGTGGTTACAGTGGGCAGGTGACAGGTACCAGAGCACTGCCTCCTGCCTTCTCCCCTAGCCTCAAGCACCTTGGGGCAGAGGCGCTATCTAAACACAACATAATAAGTCACAGCAATGAGCACCTATTTTACTCATTCCCGCTGCTCCTAGGGCAGCGGTTCTCAACCTGTGGGTCTCGACCCCTTTGGCGGTTGAACGACCCTTTCACAGGGGTCGCCTAAGACCGTCCTGCATATCAGATATTTACATGATGATTCATAACAGTAGCAACATGACAGTTATGAAGTAGCAAAGAAAATAATTTTATGGTTAGGTCACAACATGAGGAACTGTATTTTTTTTTTAATATATTTTATTGATTTTTCACAGAGAGGAAGGGAGAGAGATAGTTAGAAACATCGATGAGAGAGAAACATCGATCAGCTGCCTCTTGCACACCCCCCACTGGGGATGTGCCCGCAACCCAGGTACATGCCCTTGACCGGAATCGAACCCGGGACCCTTCAGTCCGCAGGCCGATGCTCTATCCACTGAGCCAAACCGGTTTCGGCAGGAACTGTATTTAAAGGGCCAGAAGGTTGAGAACCACTGTCCTAGGGTGAAGCAGACACTGGCAGAGCCTGTAGGGCTGAATCTGTCCCCGTGGTAAAAGGTGGACCTTAAGCAGGACCTGTGAAGAAGCCTCCCTGCCCCTCTGGATGGAATAATCATCATTTCTGTCTAAAATCCTGTGTCTCATCCTGGTTTCAGAAATAACCTAGAAAACACTTCTTACAAGTACCACCTAAGCCTGCTGTCTATTGTGCTTAGTGGAAAAAGAAGCAGGAAAGAAAAAAGCTATTTTGGGGGGGTCTGGGGCTATGGTCTCTCCCTTCTCCCCACTTCCAGCTATTGCCTCCCAGGGCCCAGCCTCTGTCTTGTCTCCGCATCTGTTGCCTACACCTTCCTGATCAGTTTGGTTTTCAGGTTTATTCTGAGCTGTTTCCTAGATTGTGATTGCGGGGGGGGGGGGGAGGGGGGGGGAAGCATAGGAAAGGATGGATTCGCCCTGACTGATGCCTCAGTTTCACTAAAATGTGTTTTCTTTACTGAGCCGGCATGGCTCAGTGGTTGAGTGTCAACCTATGAACCAGGAGGTCACAGTTCGATTCTCGGTCAGGGCACATATCCAGGTTGCGGGCTTGATCCCCAGTGTGGGGTATAGGAGGCAGCCGATCAATGATTCTCTCCCATCTATCTTTCTCTCCCTCTCCCTTCCTCTCTGAAATCAATAAAAACCTTTTTTTTAAAAAAAAGTGTTTTCTTGTAAAAACAAAAACAACCCCTAAATAGCACTATTTCAGGCTTCAATGCCAAAGTGGAAGTGAGCCGAGTGCTGACATGGGCACTGCCTGCCCACGCCCTGCGGGTGCGGCAGCAGCCTCCCCGGTGCCAGCCCACACCTCACAGACTCCAGGGGCCGGGAGACAAAGGGCTCAGGTAAGCGAGCTAAAAATACGGGAGATTTCTCTCCCTTTGCACAGCCTCCCGGAGCAGTAAGACATCAGAGCTACACGCCCTCCTGCGAGAAGAGGCAGAGCTCTGCAGAGCACGCCTCCTCGAAGAGCCCAGCACCCAAAGGCGGGGGCTGAGACTAGAACCCAACTTATGGCCTTTGGCAGCCAGGCTGGTTCTTGGTGTCCAAGTTCCCCCTGCGATTTTACCTGACAGGAGACTCAGGGGAAGAGGAGGCAATTTAAAAAAATATATATTTCTATTGATTTCAGAGAGGAAGGGAGAGGGAGGGAGAGGTCTATGCTCAACCACTGAGCCACTCGGCTGGGCAAGAGGAGCCATCTCACCTGGTCCACAGTCATGCCCGTGCACCGTGCTGAGGACACAGAGACTCGTCTAAGGACAGCACAGGTGACGTGTTATTGCCAACAGACAAGCAATGAGACTCCACAGCTTGGGGCTGCAGAACTCCACGACCCTGCGGGAGGGCTCCGTGCTCAGCAGCTTGGACCCATGAAGGAACATTGGGGGAGGCCCTGGCCCCCCATCTCCCGCTCTGTCGGAACAGGACTGTGCTGAGACCATCACTCGTACCTTAAACACCTGTGCCTGCGCCTGCTCTTCATCCGCAGAAAAGGGTCACACACCTGAAGTGTGTGTAAGAGCTAATCCTGTCTGCAAACTACAACTTGGTGTGTGAGCACCAATACAGGTCTCTGACTGCATTATCCGGAGCAGCGTACGATAAAGCAGCGACTGCGGGAAAAGCTGAGATGGGAGTTACACCTTCTGGAAAGCTCCCCGAGGACCCCCAAGGCTGGGAGCACCCTGTGTGTTCCCACAGCACACCCACCGTGTCCCAGCCCCAGGCGAGTTCTGGCCCAGGAGGTGCTCAATCAGGCGCCATGACGCCTAAGGGCAGCTAGGGGGCCTCGCGTGGTTCTGATGCCCTGTTCTGACCCATCCCCTGGCGTCTATGACCCGAAATGTCAGCATCGTTAAGAGTAACAAATCCTGACTCTTATTTCAGGGAGGTGCAGTCTGGGTAAATAAAGATGCTGCTGGGATTAGAGAAAGATGACGGGTTCCTGGGAAGGTGTCATACAAATGCAAAGTCTCGATTTAATGCCACTTTAGCAAGTGCTGCCTTTTCAGATGGCGGTTACCTGCCTTCAGCTTCTGAACTTTTTAAAAATGTATTTTTATTGATTTCAGAGGGAGGGAGGGAACGAGGGAGGGAGGAGAAGAGAGAGAGAAACATCAACTAATTGGCTGCCTCCTGCCCCCTACCAGGGATCAAGCCTGCAACCCTGACATGTGCCCTGACCTGGGAATCGAACCCAGTGACCTCCTGGTTCATAGGTCAATGCTCAACCACTGAGGCACACCTGTCGGCAGTTTCTGAACAAATTTTAAGAAGTCTTAGACATGAATTACAGAGAATAGATGAGATCGTCCCATGACAACGTGTGTTCCTACTTCATAATGTGCGCAGTGACTCACTGTGACTACACTAATTCATTGTGATTTCTATGACCAAAAACTGCATATTATTGTTACCCAAAATATAATTACATTTTCACTCTCTCTTCTGAGCCCAGGTAGTAATGATATGTAATTATCACTTTAGAATTTTATTTATTCCCAATATGCTTATCACAAAAGCACAAAAGAAAAATATTTATGGTAACATTTCCAGTAATGTGTTAAAAGTCAACAAAAGAATAAAAATTTCCGTCGAAACCGGTTTGGCTCAGTGGATAGAGACGTCGGACTGCGGACTGAAAGGTCCCAGGTTCGATTCCGGTCAAGGGCATGTACCTTGGTTGCGGGCACATCCCCAGTAGGAGATGTGCAGGAGGCAGCTGATCAATGTTTCTCTCTCATCGATGTTTCTAACTAACTATCTCTCTCCCTTCCTCTCTGTAAAAAATCAATAAAATATATTTTAAAAAAAAAGAATAAAAATTTCCATTGAATGGATCAGGAACTTGTAACAGTCCTAATTACCGATGCTTAATATTTTAATTATTGGTTTCATTTCTATGCCAGGGCATATCTGCTATTTCAAAATCACATTTATATATAATCAACCCAAAATGCCACCATCAGGCCTTTACTAAAGTCAGGAAGAAGCACCTTAGAGCCAGGTGCATATTTATTACTCGTGCGAAATTTCTTATAAAAATTAATCACAAAGCCCAAGGGGCTCATCACACTGAGTGCTTTCTCATTTTAGTGCTTTATTCAAACCGAGGACTCGTCACCGAAGCGAGAGCTGTGCTCAAAAGCAATTTGTGCTGTTGGACGAGGTTTTAATCAGCTCTGCGCTCCACTCCAGCTGTCAGCAGGCCCACACTCGGTGCCCAGGAGTGGAGGCGGGCGTGGGGAGGAATTACTGCAAGTGCCAGTGTAATGACAGCGTCGGAGGGAAATGGTGCTGTTCGGGACCCTGGACAAAGAGCGCGCTTTGTTACCACCATCCCACCCCACCGCCACCCCAGGAACCGGCACACCCTTTCTCCACTTGTCCTCTCAACATAATTTTTTTAAAAGCTCGGAGAATGATTCTGAATCAGGCAAGTTGAAATCTATCAGTCACTAATGATAGTTTTCAAACCTCTGTATTTTCCTTTCCTTTCTTTCTTTTTTTTTTTTGTTTTGTTTTGTTAATCCTCACCCAAGGATATTTTTCCATTGATTTTTAGACAGAGTTGAAAAGGGAAAGACAGAAACGTCAATGTGAAAGAAACACACTGATTGGTGGCCTCCTGCATGAGTTCTAACCAAGGCCCAGGCTGGGGAGGAACCTGCAACCAAGGTACGTGCCCTTGACCAGAACCAAACCCAGGACGCTTCAGTCTACAGGCCGACACTCTATCCACTGAACCACACCGGCCAGGGCTCCTCTATACTAGTATGTTCATACATCGGGGCTCTACATCTGGGAGCATGACATGAACGACAGAATTTCTATCTGGCTCTCAGTATTAAAGCATGATGCTTCCTTTTAGGGGATACCTACACACTCAGGAGTACCCTAGGTTTGAAAAGGACTAAGACCCATAGAAAGCTGGAGAGAAAACCAGGGTCGGAGTTAAATTCCTGAACACGCTTAGGTGTCCTCTCGGCCCCTCACGGTGGAGGAGGACCTGGCCAAGCCGTTCATCCGGGGACTGTGCTCACGTCTATTGAGGACAACCTCAGAGCTCCTCTATCCTCCGTGTGAATCCCCGTTGAGAACTTACTAGAAAGGACTTGCTTCTGTGACGTTCTGATGGGAAACACTTAGGAAGCAGCTGGCAATGCTGAGGGAGCCCTCAGCACGCAGAAGGGATGGAGCCTGGGAACCGGTGAAGGTGCATATCCCAGCAGCCGAGCAGCAGGGGCTGCGGCTTTGGGGAGCGCTGAGCCCCAACAAAAATCAGACCACTTTGGGGGGCTCCTCCACTCTTAACCCTATTTAAACGCATTACCCTCCAGCCCTGGTTCTCACGTTATTAGGCAGGAAAAGAACGAGATCTGTTGTGGAACCCGTGACCTGAGCTAGTTAGAGATTAAAATGAGACGACATGTTCAATCAATGATATAAAACCCATCATCCAGAGTCAGGCCACGACCTGAGTTTCTCCCGCCACACCGGCCGGGCACACTTGTGTGGCCACACTGTCTGTGGCTCTCGGCTGCCTAAGGTGACACGTGATCCCCGGGCAGGACCAGTGGAGACGAACCATTACTCACATACTGTTGAAGAGCTCCCGGTAGGTTTCGTCCCCTTTGCCTTCTGACATCAGGCTATCCAGTTTGTCGATGAGCTTGGCTTCCACCTGCAACACACCCAACAGTGCTCTCTCTCTGCTCCCCTGGGCAAGGGGCGTTTCTAGGCAAATGGAAACAAAGGTATGTGCCCAAGAGGAAAAGTAATGGTCCGATCGGATTGTGTGGAAGTGACGAGATCGGTTGGGTTAAGAGGAGACAGAACCCTAAGGGGCTCATTCAGATGGAGCATCGGGACTTACACGCCCCGCGGGGCTGCTCTGGTTGCTGCCAGAACCTCTCCATGTCGAGTCCAACACAAATACTTGCAGCCCAGCTTCAACATTGGAGCCCTTTTCTAGGAGCTATAAACACTGGCAAGGCTCATTTCTTTTCTCCCTTTTTAAAAAAAATCACTATACATATATAGAAACATTCATTTATATCTTTGTGTTTTCTATCTATTTTCTTTCTCAAAACAGGATGAGGTTGCATGAATCTTTGCTGAAAGTGAGAAGCTGGCCCGTCCACGGACAGATGGCAGATCCTATAGAAATGCTCCAAGTCAGCACTAAGCAGAGAGAGGGAGGGAGGGAGGGAAGGAGGGAGGGAGGGAGGGGGGGGGGAGAGAGAGAGAGAGAGAGAACGAACATATTTCCTGAAAACTGTGGTCCAAACCCTCCTATGCTCCAGCATGGAAACCCTGCAAGGCTGCCACCGGGAAGGCGGACGGTGGCCCCAGCCAGCAGGAGACAGAAGATGAAACACCCTGGCTGCCGGGGACGGAAACAGTGGAGCTGGAGGATGCTGTCTGCCTGGGTGGCAGGTCTAAGCCCAATGGATCCTCTGAATCACATTGAATCAGGGGATAAAGGCAAAAGGGCCTAAGAGTGGGTCCCCCAACACGATTTTTAAATAGCTTCTCATTCACCTATTCGCTTCCTTGAAAATAAATGCAGATAGTGATACAGGTGAGAGGCCATGCTTTTGGGGACAGGGCGGTTCGACAGAGGCTCTCAGCTTGCTGGTGGAGCTGACGGAGGTTTTTGTCGGGTTTGAGAAAGGCATGAAGCGAGGACAAGTCCTCCCATCGGTAAGTGTATACAGGTGAGTACAGTGACTTTGTGAACAGGAAGCAGGCCCAGTATCTGCAACTTGAGGGCAGAAGCAGCTGGTTTCTCATGCAATCTGCTTCTGGAATAAGAACCTGCATCTTTGCAAAAACGGGACCAGACCTCTGGGAACCTACGTCTCTTCGGAAGAGCCTTTGCAAGAATTTCCACCGCTTTCCCCTTTCAAAGAATTCTCAATGCTTTGAGCAAAGAGCAATAACGCACACTGTGCATCAGATGCTCAAAGCTAAGCCGTTCCCCAAATACACCATGCAGACCGCTGTGAGCGCAATGGTTTTAAGATTCATTAACCTTCTGATTCGCCCACGCTGTGTCCAACTGAGAGCAAAGAAAGTCCCTGCCTGTCCTTAAACACAGACCTGGCAAATCACAGAATTTTTTAGCTGAAAGGGTACGAAATGGTTTTTTCAGGGCTTTCCGGATGCTCAGGGGGTCGTAGGACCAGCAAAGTGTCCATGGCCACCTGGCCGGGAGGGGCGGCCAGGCTGGAATCTGCTCTGCCGATGGCTAATGGGGTGTTCATTTCCCAGCTCCAAGAAGTGAACGGAGGTCTCCCCCAGGCCGAGGGCACTGCCTACCTGCTTGAAGTTGCCACTCCGCCTCTGCTCCCAGTCCATCATGTCGTGGAAAATCGGAATCATGACGTTCCGCAGGTCCGGCTGTGGAATCAAGGTCACCTCCAGGAAGGGGCCGATCAGGGCAGGGATGAAATGAAGCTTGTGCTCCCCTAAGGCAATGAAATGTTTGCATCTCGGTATACTTAGAAAATTAATATTGTAACATTTGTTTAAAACTATTGCAAGTATAGTCATCTCAATGACAACTGTCTCCCCAAGCAAGGAAATATTTCCCTAAGCACATATGTAAACAGTAAGTTTCAATGTGTTGGTATTTCTCCATTGCTATTAAAAACGAGAGAATTCATTTTTTCAGTTAAAAAAAGGCCCTAAGGTACAATGAAAAGTTATAGAAGTCATCAGGAATTGGTGATATATACTACTCAACACTCACACATTGGAATTTTTATGCTGCATTAAAAACGAGGTGGAAGGACGACACAGGGAAAGTTATTCCACAGAATTAACGAAAAAAGTAAGGCACATTACTGTACGGACAGGTACGTCTTTCATTTAAAAAAAAAACATGTGATAGAAGAGAACACGGTATCCCCAAAGGTTATCCACAGTGTGGAGGCGGGGGCCACCCCGGAAGACAGCAGCCCTTCCCGTGGCACCTGCGGTCTTCCGCGCTCAGCGCCCCGCCCCGCCCCGCGGGTTTGAAGTGATGCTCCACCCGGGAGGGGGCGCTGCAGGTCAGCGTCCGCCGCTGGGTTTCCGGGTCAGGCCCAAGGAGAGGGCACGGGGCGGGGAAGACAGCTGCTCCCACAGATGCGGGGCTTGCAAACGCGAAGAAGGGCCGCCTTATGTTTAGTGGGAGCGTCAGTTCACCTAAAACCAGGAGGAAAGCCGCGTCCCCTCCCGGCAGGACGATGAGGCCGAAGCGGGGAGGCGTGGCCTGGGGGGGCCGCTCCACAGAACAGTGAGTCCCGGGCGGGCGCAGGGAGGCAGCGGGAGGGGTCATTCCTGGGCGCCTCCCCAGGCGGCTGTGGAGCCAGAGCGACGGCCTAGCTCACCTGCAGCGAAGCCAGGACTCCGCTCTGGGGAAACGACGCAGCAGCCACGGCACAGCACAGCCACCTCCCTGCCCCTGAGCCCTGTCCTGCGGGACCGGCGGCGGAGCGTGGGGAGCGTGAGGAACCAGGAGGAGCCTGAGGAGCGTCAGGAAGCACGAGGAGCGTGAGGAAGCGAGAGGAAACATGAGGGTGAGGAGCGTGAGGAAACGTGAGGAGCGTGAGGGAGCCTGAGGAGCGTGAGGAAACGTGAGGAACGTGGGGAGCGTGAGGAGCGTGAGGAAACGTGAGGAGCGTGGGGAGCGTGAGGAGCGTGAGGAACGTGGGGAGCGTGAGGAGCGTGAGGAAACGTGAGGAGCGTGGGGAGCGTGAGGAGCGTGAGGAAACGTGAGGAACGTGGGGAGCGTGAGGAGCGTGAGGAAACGTGAGGAACGTGAGGAAACGTGAGGAACGTGGGGAGCGTGAGGAGCGTGAGGAAACGTGGAGGAGCGTGAGGGAGGAGGGTGGGGAGCGTGGGGAGCGTGGGGAGCGTGGGGAGCGTGGGGAGCGTGGGGAGCGTGGGGAGCGTGGGGAGCGTGGGGAGCGTGAGGCGCCTGCACGCGGAGGCCTGGCGCTGTGCTGAGCCGTCTGCTGGGCTGGAAAAGCAGAGCCGGGGCCAGGGCTGCCTGAAGCGGGGCTGCTCATCTACCAAGTGCCGAGGATCCTCGGGAGCACGTGGGGACCCAGGCGCTGTGTCCCGGCAGCGAGCGCCAGTTTCCCCAGGTCTGGGCGGAACCAGGGCTGGTTCCTAAGAGCTGCCGAGCTGCTGGCTGCTGGTCCCCGCGCTGTCCTAGGCCCTAACCGCACCCATGAAGGGTCAGACCGCCCAGGTTTACAGCCTCTAGATTTCCCAGCGGGTTTCTTCCCCTCGCAACCCAATAGAGTCTGTCCGAAACCAGCTGTAAAGGACGTGTTTTAAAATGTGTTTTTATTGATTTCAGAGAGGAAGGGAGAGAGAGAAACATCAATGATGGGAGAGTCATTGATCGGCTGCCTCCTGCACGCCCCACACTGGGGATCGAGCCCGCAACCCGGGCCTGTGCCCTGACCAGAAATCAAACCCTGACCTCCTGGTTCATAGGTCGATGCTCAACCACTGAGCCCCGCTGGCTGGACTGTAAATGACATTTTAAGACAATCAGGGAATTGTTAATATAAGCTGGATGTTAGACTAATTTATGGGATTATCCAACTTTCCAATTTCTTCTTCCCAAAGAAGCCATTTAATCTAAAACCCAGAGGGTCACAAATATTTATTTGATTTATTTGAAAGACAGCACAGAGAACATCAACCTTCATCATGAATGACACGTAACTATCCGGACCAGGAAGTTCATGACCAACAGAGGACTTCAGTGGAAGCAAATGGTCATTGATGTCCTTCACCCTGGGAAGGCGACAGAAATTCGGGAAGAACTAGCCAAAACGTATAAGACCACACCTGATGTCATCTTTGTGTTTGGATTCAGAACCCACGTTGGTGGTGGCAAGACCACTGGCTTTGGCATGATTTACGATTCCTTGGATTATGCAAAGAAAAATGAACCCAAACACAGACTTGCAAGATATGGCCTATATGAGAAGAAGAAGACTTCAAGAAAACAGAGAAAGGAACGCAAGAACAGAATGAAGAAAGTTAGGGTACTGCAAAGGCCAATGTTAGTGCTGGCAAAAGGAAGGAGTAAAGATTCTTCGGTGACTTTATCTGTGATGGTTGTGCAAATTTTTCATGAGAGGATTAATAAACTATAAACTTTAAAGAAAAAGAAAGACAGCACAGAGGAGAAACACTGATGATGCATGCAATGACATCTGTAGGGAGACTCAAGGTGCCCACTGAACTGAGCAAGCCAGGGTTCCTGCGCCTACATGCACAGGTCTCCTGGTGTGGACCAAGGCTGCCGTGGACATAACCATGCACAGCGATGCTACGATTTATCCTGGAGGGACAACGGCCATGTTTCTAACCTGGTACCCAAATGACCCTGCCCCAGCCTTCTCACCGGAGCGTGGACAAGAGCCTAAATAAACAGCCACAAGAGCACGGAACTCAATTACCTATACAACGGGGCTTCCTCAAATGGCTCTACATGTTTGAGAACTATACGTGTCCTGGTCGAAAATCACTCTGTGACATGAATGGAAGTCAAAAGATGATGCTTCTATTTTCACGTACAGAAAACACACCCTGCCTCCGCCACGCTGTGCTCAGAGGAGCCCCAGAGCAAGGGTACCTTCAGGTCATCGCACATTCGATTCAAATAGATTCATCCCTTTAACAAACCACAAGGAGGAACCACACGGTGGTAGTGAATGGACACTATACACGTGTGTAGTTAACATAAATAAGTAACATACCAAATTAAATAGTAAATAATGGAAACCCTCTGCCAAGGAGATTCTGGAACAGTCTATTTTCCAAATATTCTTTTCTATGTAACCAAACCTGTACCATCAATTTGCTGGAATACTGCACTCTGTCTGCTGTGATTGGCTAACAAAATTAGCTAATGGTTTCCTAGCAACTGCAGATGCCTTTACATCCTTTGACTATACTCTTCATGATATAGGTCAATGGTTTCACATTTTTTAAAGAGTAGTGATGCTCAAGTCCATTTCCATGAAGTTTAATCTAAATTTGGTAGGATTCGGAGTCCTAGAAATTTCGAGGTGTTACAGTTCCAAATTCCAGAAGGTTCTTAACACACTGCTAAAGTTGTATGTATTACTGGAGTGAGCTGGATTATAAAATTTATCACTCCATAATAATGAAACTCATGAAGATGAGGTGACTTTTTTCAGGCAGACAGCAATTTAAAGAATTAGTTGTAACCCTAACCAATGCCAATGTGTCATTACTTTGTATGGATACCTTCACTGATTTAGACACTTGGTTTCAAATCCTGTCCTTGGTAAATTGCCCTCTTCACTCAGACAGTGAAAAGTGCGGTGCTGAGCTGTGAAATGCCCGTGGCTTCTCTTTTCATCACTTACCCAGGTTTTGCCACATGCTGAAGATCTCACAGCCCATTGTCACCCGCATGTCGCCATACCTGAAACAGAACAAACACCAGACCTGATACAGGGCCTTCGGAACAAAGACAGATCTGTGTCTCTAGGATACTATCAGTCTGAGTTAAAAGTCAGTATGTGTTTAATGAAAGATTTCAATGTGCATGCCTTGATGCCTCTAATTCAAATCTTCATATAAATCTTTAATAAAACAGATTTGCCTCATAATGTTCACTTTGGTAGTAATTTTGAATCCTGAAAGACTGAGGACAAATAAAAAAGTTTAAATAAGTTCAAAATATTGAAATTCCCAGAAAAGACTGCTTCTTGTCCTCTTGGTCATCTCCTCTCCATTGTAATTTCCGGCATGAACATCTGATCGATGAATCGTTTGAACAGAACACCCTTTAAAAGGCACCGCACTTGGTGTGCCTCATGCTCCCATCTGATTACACACCGGTACTTACTTTTCTAATACCTTTTTCTTTTTGGACGGTGTGAACATCTCCAATTGCAGACACAGCTGGTTTATAAAAATGACCGCGAGGAAAAAGTAGGAATCCCAGATCTGAAACAAAAATTAAAGATTTATGTACTATGTTGTCACAGAAATATTTACAGGGGAAGTGACATGATACGTGGAGAGGTAAGTGGAGAGGGTAGGGCTGATATCATCAGATGGTCCTGAGTTGATAACAGTAGAAGCTGGTTATGGGTACACGGGAGTTCCTTATGCTGCTCTCCCTACTTTAACATATGCTTTAAATGTTCTACAATAAAGAAGTAAACTAAATCTCTCGTTTTCTATATTGCTTCCATGTGTTGTCACAGGTGTCAAAAGCTCTCTGGTATATTTAAATGGAATATATTTCATTTCTCTTATAACTGTGTGTCTCCAAGGAGGCAGAGGTATGAGATGAATCACTTTATTCCTGTGCGAATTCCTTTTTGGAACTCCTTTCAATGTAGAACTCAAAAGGATGCATACACTTCTTTGGAAATGCTAATTGCTTTAAATTCAGACAGTATATAAAAATTCCCTGCCCAGACAAATCTTTTGATTCAAAGTTTCCTTATCCCCAAAACAGCATCAGAGAGAGATCAGAATAAAATTGCTGACAATAAACTTAACCAAAAAGATATGATATAATGAAAGAAACTACTTCTCTATTAATACCAAGTAAAATTAAAAAGGGTTAATATCTTTCATATATAAAGAGTTCTCACAATTAAAAAGTATGATAGAACCCCCGCAAAATAATGAACAAAGGTCCAGAATGACAATTCACAAAATATGGATTTTAGTCAATAACTAATAACTATTAAGGAATGCAAATTAGAGCAAAAAAGATTTTGTCTCATCAAATTGTCAAAAAAAAATTATCTCCCAGTGTTGGTGCAGATATAGATAATCAAATGGGTGGTACAACCTTTAACTCAGCAATTCCACTTGTAAACATTTATTCAAAGAAATAATTGGGGACATATGCCAAGCTTTATTTTGTAAGGATGTACATAAAAAAGAATAATTTATAGGAACAAAATTAGAAACAACCAAAGTATTAAAAAGTAGAGCTTTGGTTATGAAATTTTGATAGGTTAATTATTATAAAGTCTGATATAAGGTCTGATATAAAGAAATATTACACAACCATTAAAATTCCATTGGTCTTATTATATATGTGGGTTTTTTTTTATATTTTCTAGTTAACCAATAAGGACATTTTATTAAATGTTTAATGTGAAAGATGTTATTTAAAAAATAATAAGAAATAAAGATGCCCCAAAACATAGACATCCTGAAGGAGAGGCAGCACAGCCCTGCCCACCCTTCACCATTTCCTGTTTGCCCCTGAAAAAGTAGGTCAAAAACTCTTATTAGAGACCTAGGCACATCACAGACGCAGAGTTCTGCCTTAGAGAACTTTATTAATCATTTTTTTCCTTTGCATTATTTTATTTTTAAAAAATTGGGATTACTTTGTAAGCGTTTTCTTCATATAAACTCTATCTTAAGATAGGTCTTAAAAACATTATGTTCTAAGTCCCCTTATGCATGAGGGTCACAAAGAAAGAAAAGAATAAAAAATTATGGTAATGAGCCTAGCCAACGTGGCTCAGTGGTTGAGCATCGACCTCTGAACCAGGAGGTCACAGTTCGATTCCTGGTCAGGGCACATGCCTGGGTTGCGGGCTCGATCCCCAGTGGGGGGCATGCATGAGGCAGCTAATCGATGATTCTCTCTCCCTCTCTTCCTCTCTGAAGTCAATAAAACAAATATTTTTTAAAAATTCTGGTTATGCCACAGCACTGTCTCCTCTCAGGCACTGCGATTCCACCCGGCGGGTAAGCACCGTATAGCCCTGACTTGCTCACACATGTAATGAACACTCTTGTAGATGGCCCGAGGTGAATTTGAGGAAGCCAGAATAAATTTACTTTCCTATGATTAAGAGAAAACAAACAAATGAGGCCATTTCCTCGAGTGCCAGGTGAAACCTTTACCCCAAGTTGAATAGTTGTGCGCGTAATACTTACCTTATAATCGAAGTTTTCATTTAAGAAGTTCTTACGAAGTGCGTCTGACAGGTAGAGAACTGTTGTGATGATCACGCTAGGGATCAAAGTAACACAGAGAAAGTTAGGAGCTCCACACTTATACAGTTGTACAAGGAAAAGAAGAGGGGAAAAAAAAAACAGAAAAGAACGAGGGGCTTTGCATGTACGACTGGGACGATGGCCAGGACTGTGAAGGAAAGAGCCATGTACAGCAGAACACCCACATCTGCCTCCTGCGAGGCGCGGATTTAGGGACCCTGGTGCAGGGACCGCGGAAGTAACTAAACTAACAGGTGGTTTCCCCAGGCTGGGCAGGGGATAAACAAGGAGCGGGTGGGGTTTCTCAGGGCATCATCTATCTGTTCTATTGTTCGATTTTTTAAAAAATACATTTTTATTCATTTCAGAGAGGAAGGGAGAGGGAGAGAGGAACAGAAACATCAATGAGAATCACTGATTGGTGCCTCCTATGTGACTTTGAACCATGGTAATGTACCACCTGTTTAAAACAAGTAGTAGTGGTTTTTTAAAAGCAGTGAGAGAAGGTAATTCAAAGGCAGAGGAAAAGGACCCCAGGACTTGGCAGCTTTGAGCTTGACATCAAACTAAAAACATCTTGTTGTCCTCCGCTCTAACCCTGGATGATGAGCTTCAAGTATCATCAATATAGAAGTCGTACTAGCCTGGCTGGTGTGGCTCAGTGGTTGAGCACTGACCTATGAACCAGGAGGTCACTGGTTTGATTCCTGATTAGGGCACATATCTAGGTTGTGGGCTCAAGTGTGGGGCATGCAGAAGGCAGCTGATGAATGATTCTCTCTCATCATTGATGTTTCTCTCTCTCTCCCTTCCTCTCTCTCTAAAAAGACAATAAAAATATTTTCTTTAAAAAAAGGTCTTACTTGTTAGCCACCAGGCGCATGACAGTCCAGTCCTTGGGGAACATCTCGGGCCGTATCAATATTCGGAACACAGTGAATATCTGCAGCAGGAAGTCCTTGGGTGAGGAAGAAACAGACCATCTCACTGCGTTAACTGGTTATTGCAATGCACACGCACGTACACACATGTGTGCGCCCACTCACACACGATGGTGTGAGTGGACCCAGCGACCCATGCTTCGCAGCTAGGGTAGTGCAGAAACACTCCCCTCTTACGTAAAATTTATTTTTCAATTACAATGGCCTGTCCAGGCATTCCTCTCAGAGATGTCAGGCCAGAGAGCGATGGCATTTCTGGAAATATTTTTCCACAGGTCACCTGGAAACACACTGTTGTCAGAGGTGGCGACACCTCCCTTTCACACCGTATCAGGGTGGGGCCCAGGAGGCCACAGCACATGGACACACACTGCATGGAGTGAAGAAACGTAGCTGGCCCGACTCAAAAAGAGATGGGTGCGGTCTAGCTTCGGTTTAGATTCATTAACTGACCCTTAAAGAATTTTTGTTGTAACCTGAAGGACTACTAGGAAAATAACTCTAACAATTTGATTGAAGGCAACAGTATGGTGTTGCCGAAAATGTAAAAACAACAACCACAACCCCGAACACAAAAGTTTTCTTTGTCAAACCCAATAACACATTATGTTAAACATGTAAGCTGCTTGAATATAAGATTATGGTTGTCACTCAAATCATTAGAAGGCAGACTCTTAAAAACTAAGAAACATGCTGTGTGTACGTGTGTGTGTGTGTGTGTGTGTGTGTAACATACTCCGACAGCTCTGCTCAAGCTCATAAATATTTAGACAAGAATTTATTTTAGCTTCTTTGGCATCAACCCATACATTGAGAACAGGTTTGATTCCAGGCAAAGGCACGTATCTCGATTGTGAGCTTGATCCCCACCCCCGCAGCCCTGGTCAGGGCACGTGAGGGAGGCAACTAATCGATATGTCTCTTTCACATCGATGTTTCTCTCTTTCTGCCTCTCCTCCTCCCTTCTACTCTCTCTAAAAATTCAACGAAAAAACTATCCTCAGGTGAGGATTCACAAAAAAACAAAACAAAAGGAAGATCCTGATGAATTAAAACGTATGCATGTGGTTTGTTAGGAACAATGTTTGTCTGGGGCGAGGGGTTTGAAAGCGGCCGAGGAACTGTGGAGGGAAGGTAGACTGAGGAGAGAAGACTTGCTGAGACCTGGGGCTCTGTCTTGTAGGTAACGTGGAGTCCTCAAGGCTTCAAGTTGGAGTGAGGCTTAATCAGATAGGATTTTTAAAAAATATATTTTTGTTGATTTCAGAGAGGAAGGAAGAGGGAAAGAGAGAAACATCAATGAGGAGAGAGAATCACTGATGGGCTGCCTCCTGCACACCCCACACTGGGGTTCGAGCCCACAACCTGGGCATGTGCCCTGACTGGGAATCGAACCGTGACCTCCTGGTTCATAGGTCGACGCTCAACCACGGAACCACGCCAGCCCGGCAGATAGGGTTTTTGAGCCAGTACACAAAAGACAATGAAAGGTCACAATGTCCTACGTAACTTCCGGAACGTGTATAACCAACCTCACGCCTTAAAGGCTGCCCCAGAGTTCGGCATGGAGAGTCATAATCCACAGAGCACAGGACCCTCACTGCTCTCCTCCCACATAAAATGCCAAGGACGTGGATGAATGTCGGCCCGCAGGAGAAGGTGGGTGTACAATAAACCATTACTGACGACAGAAGGAAGGAAAAAAACCCTAATCACTTCTTACTTTTGCTTTTGTTCATTTCTAAAATAACGCCGTGTCCCAGAGAAGGGAAGAATTAACAAGGCCGAGCGGCAGCCTCTGGCCCTGCGCCCACGCACTTCTGCGACACTGTGCCTCACGCCACGCGCCCACAGCACACGCGGGCCGTGGAGGAGAAACGGCAGGACTTTGCTGCCCTTAATAACTCTGGGGATTTTAAAGACTGAACTGTGACGGCCAGACTTCCTCAGTGAAGAAAGGCTCCTCCACATCCGATGGAAGTTCATCACTGCAGCATTATCCTCCTTTTCAACCACAAGGTGGCCTTCTGTGTGTAGAGGTCCAACGTTTCTCACCCACTGAAATCCTAAACTCAAGAGTGAAGGTAAGCATGGGGGCTCGGGCTTGGGCATGAACATGCCCATCACCCGCCCGCTCGAGTCTACATCTGCCCGAGCCTAATCTTCGCTTCCTCTGACCCAGCTGCCGACCGCTCGGAGTGGCTGACGGATTCTTCTGAGATCAGACGACCTCCTCCAGGCAGTTCAGTCAGAGATACGTGACCCGTACGCATTGTCTATGTTTTTAAAAATGTACAAGTCCCCCCCCCCCAAGGCCCCGGGAAGGCTTCCAGTCATGTACCATCAGGGCGACCGTCCCCACCGGCCTAGACTTCACCCCCAGCAGTTCAGAACCTTCCCATTACGAAGCTGTTGATAATGTCTGGGTCCCCAGAGGAAAACTGGAGGGATGGAGAGAAATAAAAGCAACAAAAGGACAGACGACAGGTCCTTTCTCCCACTGAGGACAATCAACTTCCAAGCTTTCAGGGAACGCCATGAAGGAAACAGCAGAGTGCCCTAAATCTCGGCCAAGACCAGATATTTAGAAACATCAATATTTTTTATTGCACGTCAGCGTGTCAGACGAGCACAGCGTATGGCTTAGGCTACAGGCTGACCGAGAATATCAGCCTCAACTCTCCCTCCCGCGTCAGCACACAGCAGCCGGAATCTCTCACGGGTAAGCCCTTATCTTCCCTGAGGGCGATATTCCCAAGGCCACTGAACTATGGTTAGTCTCCTTAGCTCTGTTACTCTGTTTCTGGCCTGTTGCACGCTGATGACAGGTGTTTTCAATGCTACGTTCTTGTCCAAGATAAGAGTTAATTACTTTGCATGAGCATAGAAACTTTACAGCAAGCATGTCAGACTCACAGCCAGCAGGCCGCATGCTGGCCACGAGTTTGACATACTTGCCTGACAGAGCCAAGACGGATGAGCAGATGCGTGGACAAAGCAGAGAAAAAGCAGCTTAAAGTTTAATGGAAAATAGTAAAGCAACTGTCAAGGGACTGTCCGGAAAACGTTGAAGAAGAGCGAGAGAAGTTGAAAAGGGACATTAAAAAACTGTTTAACTGTCACTTACCCTCAGTTCTTCCTTTGTACTGAAACTGTCAAGAAGCTGTTGATAATGCCTGTCTGTCATTTGTCGTAACAGGGACAGGAGACAAGCAACAAACTCCCCCTAATTAAAACACAAACAGACAAGCATGTTTTTCAATAAGACATAGACCCATCAGTGACTTGCTTTGAACTACCCTAAAATAGACAATTGAAAAAAAAACACCCACTATGACCCAAACTCCCTCTATGAAGTCTTCTTACTCTAAATTCACCATAATGTCACAGTCAAAGTCTCTCCCCAGAGAACCATTTCCTTGTTGTTCATGAATTTCTAAATTCAGAGTGGAATTCCTCACTGGGGTGAAGGCTTCTCACTAGGGAAGTAACTGCACACACGCAAGGAGGCGTGACAACGAGGCCCCTAACCGTTTATTCCGCAGTTACTACGCCTTCATTCATTACGCCATCAATGCTATGAGGTAGGCCAGTGATGGCGAACCTTCTGAGCTCGGCGTGTCAGCATTTTGAAAAATCCTAACTTAACTCTGGTGCCGTGTCACATATAGAAATTTTTTGATATTTGCAACCATAGTAAAACAAAGACTTATATTTTTTATATTTATTTTATATATTTAAATGCCATTTAACAAAGAAAAATCAACCAAAAAAAATGAGTTCATAGGTTCGCCATCACTGAGGTAGGCAGTATAATACTTATTTAAAGAAGAAAGATGGCCCGGCCAGCATGGCTCCGTGGTTGAGCAACGACCTATGAACCAGGAGGTCACAGTTCCATTCCCAGTCAGGGCACAGGCCTGGGTTGTGGGCTCAATCCCCAGTAGGGGGCGTGCAGGAGGCAGCTGATCAATGATTCTCTCTCATCATGGATGTTCCTATCTCTATCTCCCTTTCTCTTCCTCTCTGAAATCAATAAAAACATATTTTTAAAAAATTAAGAAGGATGGTACATTTTGTTCTTCCACCAGCTGTTCTTTGAACTTTAAAAAGCTCTCTCCAGCTGGAAAAAACAACACCCTAGTAACAGGTTCCCTTTCCAATATCTAACCGCGAGGGAGGCAGCTTCCACGCAGTAACACGCATGGCCATCAGTCCACACCCTCCATCCCGGGCCTTGGGACCCTCGCGGTTACAAATGCTGCTTCCTTTGCATGTGATTCTGCCCGGCCCGTGGGCACCCGGGGACCCGGGGGAGCACAGGCCCGTCTGACACACTCTGCTGTGCTTGTCTGAAGTTCTCGTGCTCGACCCCCAAGGCCAGAGCCCAGATTCCCGCAGCACCCACCCTCCCAGCGACCGCGGCTTTGGCCCACACACGCCCGGCCCCGCGGCCGCTGGCTGGGACTCACGGTGACGTCCTGGAAGTGGAGCCGCGTGGCGGGGCCGGAGGCCTGCGGGCGGCTGGTGATCTCCAGGATGGTCCGCAGCAGGATGTCCAGCAGGCTGGCCACGATCACGTCGATCTCCTCCAGCACGGACTTCTCCTGCAGAGAGAAAGGCCCACGTGCTCAGGGCGTTCTGCTCACGGCGCTCCGCTCTCTCAGGGAAAGGGGGAAAGAGCGTTTCCAAGTAGAGAAGGAGGCGTCGGAGAGCTCGGAGCTGTGCGGCCCTGGACGTCCCCTGGGTCAGCCCCGGGAGCGACCTTCTTACAGAAAACCAGGGCGGAGGCAGCGAGGAGCTGACCCCCAGCACACACGCCGGCTGTGCAGCAGGTGCCTGGGACCCACATACAAAGCGGGGTGAGGCCCTGGGACAGATTCAGAGCCCAGCCGGGCCGCTGACAGCATGTGGCCTTGAGCGTTAACCTATGAACCAGGAGGTCATGGCTCGATTCCCAGTCAGGGCACATGCCCGGATTGCAGGCTCCATCCTCAGTGGGGTGTGCAAGAGGCAGTCAATCAATGATTCTCACTCATCACTGATGTTTCTATCTCTCTCTCCCTCTCCCTTCCTCCCTGAAATCAATAAAAATATGTTGAAAAAAATAAAAAGACACGTGGGAGGCGTGGAGTCTCCTCCTATGGGGACACGGTTCTTTCCTGAAATACAAGCTTTGGAAGCCCAGGTTATTGGGGGTTACAGCCACCCCGCAAGATGAAAAAAAATTCCTCCAGAGGAAAAGCACAAAGTCCAACCCAGCTGCAGATGGAAGGGAGGGCATCAGGGGTGACTCCACGGGGGTCTTTGAAGACAGTTAAGGCTTTAGGTCCGGGAGCGGCGGGCCGGGCCGAGAGGACGGGTGTCTACTCACCGAGCTGTTCTTCTTGCTGAGGCAGAACACGTTGCTGAGGATGCGTGCGCACGCGACCAGGTCCTTCTGCTGCCGCAGGTGCATGTGCAGATGGTGCAGGACCACGGGGAGCAGGATGCACCTGGAATCTGCAGGAGGAGCCGTCAGCGTCCCTGCACAGCCCCTTCCTCCCACTTCATCATCAGCAGGAACGGGATGATGATACCTTGTTAGCACAGGTAGCTAAGAAGGTACCAGTCCCACACGGTCCATGTTCAAAGCCAGTAGCTCCTTTTCCCAACCCACGATTCCTGCACACAAAAGGGTTTTCACTCTTTTACTGAAATAGGGTTTTTAGCCTGAGCTGGTCTGGCTCAGTGGACAGAGCGTCAGCCTGTGAACTGAAGGGTCCCGGGTTCGATTCCAGTCAAGGGCACATGCCCAGGTTGGGAGCTGGATCCCCAATAGGGGGTGTGCAGGAGGCAGCCGATCCATGATTCTCATCGTTGATGTTTCTATCTCTCTCTCTCCTTCTCTCTTCCTCTCTGAAATCCCCCACACCTGTCAGTGACGTGTCAGGCCGGGCCCGGCCATGGCTGCTGGGTCTCTGTCTAATGGTGAGGCCTGTCTGTGGTGGGGAGCCCCATCTCCCATTGAGCAGCATCGGTAGCTGGCATCCAAAGCAGAGTTGATTTATTCTATTTACTCTCAACAAACGTTTATTGAGAGCTATGGCAAGGTACCTCGTGCTAAATGCAGGGGACTGCAGAATGGCTTCAGTATATCCTTTAATTCAGCGTGCTCCCACTCTGGAGGGGGAGGAGGATGTGTGTGGAATCCAATAATTACAGAATATGGAATAAATGGGAAGTTATCATAGAAGCAGCATAGACTATGGGAAGCTTTGTTTTCTAGTGAATTCAGGGAAGGCTTCCTGGAGGACACTTGCATTGGGGTTTTGAAGTATATTTAGGAGTTGACCAGGTTGTCTAAGGTTAAGGATAGGATGGGGTGGGAGATGGCACTCTAGGCAGAGGAGGGAAGCTGTATGGGATCCTCGTGGTTTGCTGGATCCCTGGTACGAGGGAAGATCTGGTGGGAGAAGGGGCTGGACATTTGAGTGGTGAGAAGGTCTCCCCGGACAGGAGCTGGACCTTAATCTGTCGGCTGAGAAGAGCTGGGGGATTTGAAGCTGGGTGATGTGATGAGGCTTG